CAGAGGGAGAAGCAGGCTCCCCGCCAAGCAAGGAGCCCGATGCGGGACTCGATCCCAGGACTATGGGATCATGACCTGAGCCGAAGGCAGCTGCTCAACCAACTGAGCCACCCAGGCGTCCCACAAAACTTAGTTTTAAAGAAGACCCCAGGTAGGGGGCCTGGGTGGCTCAGATGGTTTGGGCACCTTCAGCTCCTGTCATGATTCCAGGGTCCTTGGATGGAGTCTTGTGTTGGGCTCTCTGCTCAGTAGGGAGCCTGCTTCTCTCTCTGACTCTCTTTCTGTCTCTCATGAATAAATAAATAAAGTCTTTAAAAAAAAAAAAAGAAGACGACGACGTCAGGTAGATCATACATCCTGGTCATCCTACCAAACATTTGACAATTGCTCTGAATCCTATTATGGATTAAAAAAAAAAAAGACCCTCATTTTTTTTTTTCTGAAAGGAATTGTGTTTTTTACATTTTTAAATAAAACTTATTTTAATGCTAAAAGTGAGTCCTATAGTATTTATAAGTTAACATGAAACATGTTTGAGTGAAAATAAGTGCAAAGTGACAGAATAAATGCCAATTCTATTTAAAATGAAAAGGAACAAGAAATCCTGTATAGAATTACTTTCAGGGCTTAGATTAAAAATTCAAATTGGGAAATCAAACTGTTACTTCCTAATTCACGAATGAAACCTCGATGTATTTATTTTAAATGACTTTTTTAAAAGATTTTGACAGAGATCACAAGTGGGGTGGGGGGCCAGGGAGCGGGCTCCCTGCTGAACAGAGAACCTGATGTGGCAGTACCCTGAGATCATGACCTGAGCTGAAGGCAGAGGCTTAACCCACTGAGCCACACAGGTGCCCCAATTTTAAATTGTATGTAACCACGTTTAATCATGTGTGATGTTTTCAATAATTTAAAACTAAGATCCATGAAACTCTTTAAATGACATTAACTTTGTTACATTTCAAGTCTTCTAGATCCTAGAAGATTGATAACTTGGTAAATACATCTGTACCTGAAATAAAATTAGTTTTAGTCCCCGAAATTTTATGTATAAAATTTTGGTAACCAACCTGGAGATGATTATATATTTGAACTATTTCTTAGAGAAATTTAATTTTTAACTTAAAAACCTAATTTTCATACCCCGTTTTTAGTGATTTACTTATATTTTTATGCCTTCCAGCAGTTGATAATAATTTTAATTTTAAGTTCCATGGTCTGGGAGTGTTACTAAGAGAATTTTGTTATTGGTGAATCTGCCATTGCAAGAATTAAGTATCTCAGTTATGAAAAATAAAACAGTTCCATAGTTAAGATACTGGTCTATACTACCAACATGAGAACTGTGTAAGGAGACAGCTATCTGTTTGGCAGTATTAAATGAATCCATTTTGAAATAAACACCGTGTTGCTGTATCTTTTTAGGCACATTCTGTACTTTACTTTTTCAGTTAACATATTTTTAAAGACAACTGGATTTTTCATTTGATATAAGTAGTATATGTGCAAATAGGGAGCTATATAGTCAAAATTTGTAATTTTTATGTGGGTAAATTAACTCTGAATTGAATTATACTAGTGGTGTGTGCACGGCAGCATAAAGATGATGCACAGCCTTTCAAAGGAACTGGTGTAGAAGAGCATGGAGTCCTAAATGCGTTTGACTTAAAAAACAAAAAAAACAAAACCCACCTTCCTTATAGTTAATTTAAATTTAGTCTTAATTCTCTTTTCTGTGTGATCAAGTATATTTGTGATAAGAAAAAGCACCCACTTAATGGATTTTTATATTCTATAATTATCTATTTACATCATTTAATATTCCCAAATTGTCCAGGAGGGTCATACTGTCATTTGCATTTCTGATATCTTGTCAATATTTAAAAAGTGTATTCACGCAATTCGAAAACCTGGAATATAGTAACTGAGGGAATGCACCCACACACATGGTTTTCCCTCTCAGTTCCCAAACATCTCTCCAGTGTCTTGTCTCTTCCCAGCCTGCAGACAGAGCAGGAAAAAAATGTTTTGAAGCTGCATATTTTTCCACATTCTCAAAAGAACAAAATGCTGCACAACCAGCAGCCCTGCCTCTTCCATTTAACTCTAGCGACTGTTTCTACGGACGGAAGACGAACAGGAAAGCACAGGAAAAGAGTCCCTTTCTAACAGGTCCGCTGACTCCGCGTCCTGCCCCGGCGCCATTACCCTTCCGTGGACTACATGAAACTCTTTGAAGAAAACGTCGGTTAACCGCGCCCCTCCCGCCAAACCACACTTCATTAGAAATTTAAAGTCGGCTCTCTTGAAGCAGTTGACTGGGGAACCCCAAGCATTCGACCGAAAAGTCTGAGTCACCCTCTAACTCCACCATCAATTAGAAAACAATTATTGCTAATCGTCCTCCTCACGCCGCCAGCGACCTCGGCGGGCTAGCGCCCCGCGGTTCCGGTTTGGGAGCTGGCGGGGGCGGGAAGGGGGGTGGGGCACTCTCCTCCAACCACCCCCCCCCACACACACACCGCTCCCCTCCCCGCCCCCCTCGCCCTGCCGCGGCGTCTGACGTCCCGCGCGTCGGTTCGCGCGGAGCAACGCGGGGAGCCAGGCCGGCCGCAGGCGGGGTAAGGCCGGACGGGTTCCCGGGAGCGGCGGGCCCCGGGCGGGAATGAGCACCAGGCCGCGCGGGGCGGCGGAGTCGCGCCTCTCCCTCTGCGGTGGAAGCTCGGGAGCTGGCCCAGCCCGCGGCGCGTTCGCGGAGTGGGAGGGCCCCTGGGCGCGGGCGTTAGCGGAAGGTAGCGTTAGGCTCCTTCGCCGCGGTTGGGGGCCCGGCAAGCACGTCCTCGGTGCCGCGCAGGCCGCCTCGGCGGTGCCGCGCAGGCCGCCTCGGCGGTTCCGCAGGGCTCGCTCCGCAGGTGGAGACGCGGGCCTCCGGGCCCACCCTTGACCCCCGCCCCGGCCCTCCCGCCGGGAGTTCAGGCCGGGTACCTCGGGTGAGAGGAAGGTCCGACCCCCGTCAGTCCCCTGGACGAAAACATTGCGCCCCAGGGTCCTTAACCAAGTGGGTCTTTGAAAGGCGGCAAAGTAAACTTAAGCTTTTCTCTATTTAGGTGTGAAGAGAAAAAATGACACTCCAGTGGGTGGCAGTTGCAACCTTTCTTTATGCTGAAATAGGACTTATTTTAATCTTCTGCCTGCCTTTTATTCCTCCTCAGAGGTAGGAAACCTCCAAATCTTTACAATAAGTATACGTTTCAGTAAGCACAGGAAGCATGATTAGCTCCTTATACTGTTTAGTGTGATACGGAAAAGGTTTTCTTAAGATTAAAAAGTTTTGAAAGCTGATTATTTAAAAAGTGCTGTTTAAACTCACCAACTTTAGGAACTGTCTAATAATATTAAAGAAATCACTTTATATAAAACATTTTATTGTGTGTACAAACGCATTAGCCGTTTCCCTCACTTCTAAAAGGAAAAGGACCGCCCTTTTGGTTCTGTTGATTACAAATATGATAAAGCGTTGGTTGTACTTATAATACATGTCGTCATCAAACTTAACCTTGTTTATTGCCCTGAATTGGAACAGTGAACTAAAAAAAGGGAAATGGATAAATGAGGTTAGCAGCACGCATGGGTACAGAAATGTTTCATTGAGGGAGTGGAACAATGTAGGAGAAGTTAAACCAGTAAATGATTCTTAGTGTTCTTATGTAGCCCAAAGATAGTTTCATTAATGTTTACTGGCAATTTACTACTTTTTTCCATACACAGAATTAATATGTACTGAAAGTGCTGAATATGGAAAGTACCACAACCATACATTAGCGTTAATTCCTTAGTAAAGACCTTCAAAGGTCTTTAAGTACAGTACTGAGCATTTAAATTGAAGCCTTGGCTCACTTTGCTCCTATAATAATCCTCATATGGCTTGGTTTGAGGGCTGTGGGGGGTGGCAGTTAGTGTAGTGGACACACAATGTAGCATTAGTTTCAGGTGTACAACCTAGTGATTCAACTTCTCTGTGGTTATACCATACTCACCACAAGTGTAGCTACCATCTGGGGAGTTAGTTTTAGATCCAGAAAGTTGATAATATGAATGGTGAAATGCACTTTTAATAAAAATGTTGCAACACCTTTGTTCATGCTCATGACATAAAAGAAAATCTTTCATAAATGAGATCATAGAGATAAATTCAGTGAGATCGCATGACTGGAAAAGATTTATGAAAGTTTTTACTTTGGCTCAGGGTCCATGTGGTCTTTACACCTCTTAACTTGCTTCTTACCTACCTGCATTGCTACTCACTTCTGTCCTTGTCTATCAGCTATGCCATCACTTCTTTCTTCCTTACTAAAGAAAAAAAATTGAATCATGCCGTAAGAAGGAGCATTAGACATCATTTTTTTCCAACCCACTCATTCAGTAGTCTGAGTAGTCTAAGGTCATCTAGCTGATCCATGGCAAACTCCAGACAAGAATCTGTCTTTCAGCCTTGTGCTTTTTCTACGCTGCTGCTTATCCTGTTTGTTTGTTTCAAATCTCTGTAATGCCCTGTTAGCTTTTTGGTAGTAGTTCCAACAAGAGAGTCCTGTATTCAAGAAAAGGAATGATGTTATTTATAAACATCTGATTTATAAATAAGGCCTAAGAATTTGCAAACATATACACACACACACGTGTGTGTGTGTGTGTGTGTGTGTGTGTGTGTGTAGTCAATATTTTCTGCGTGAAAATGGTCCATAGATTATGGATCTTTTTCTTCCTACCAAATATAATTTTTTTCTTATACAAGTAGCTCTTTGATAGATACGTATATAAATACACAAATTATATATAGGCTCATGTACAAATATACATAAGAAAATGTGTGTGTATATATATATCTATATAAAAATGTGTATGTTTATGTATATACAGAAACGAAAACAATTCATTTATAATTTGTCCTTATTGTGTGTAAGGAAATTATACTCCAAGTATACTACTCGTATATATACTTTTAATCTTTTATATACGGATCACCATATTGTCAACGAAAAGGCTTCAATGGTTATTTAAGTTGACTATTACTCACATAACCCATTGGTTAAAGACACATAGTTACAAGTCTGGCTGCCTGGGTGTATGTCCCAACTTTGCGTGTTACTGTATGACGGTGGGCAAATTATTTACCATCTCTGGTCGGTTTCCTCATCTATAAAATACAGTTAATACTAGTACCAACCTCATATAGTGATTGTGGTGATTAAATGAGCTAAAATTTGTAAAAGTGCTTAGAACCATAGTATTGTAATGACTGAATATATAACAGCTATTATCATTTCCTCCTTGAATTGAGTATTACTAGAAACTGCTAGTTCTCTTCTGTAGGAAGTCTTTTTTGTGTTTCCTTTTATACTGGCCCTTAAAATGTGAATTTGCATTGGGACATGGAGAAGGTATTGCCAGTTATGTTCTCTTGCTAGAAATATAAAAATTTTCATAATGAAAAATTTGAATAGCGTCTCTGGACTTGGGGGCATAGAGGCATCTGTATCAGTCTCCCTCCCCTCATCAACTTCAAGTTGTTACTTAGGGCTGTTTTCCAAACTTATTAGTTAATAATTTGTTGTAGTCTTAAAGTAAAACATTTTAAAGTTGTGTTTGAAGTTTTATTAGGTGCTTATTACTTTTATGTCTCCTCGAATCTGTTATTCATTTAAAATGCCCTTGTAGGGGTGCCTGGGTGGCTCAGTGGGTTAAAGCCTGGGCCTTCGACTCAGGTCATGATCCCAGTGTCCTGGGATTGAGCCCCACATCTGGCTCTCTGCCCAGCAGGGAGCCTGCTTCCCTTCCTCTCTCTCTGCCTGCCTCTCTGCCTGCTTGTGATCTCTGTGTCAAATAAATAAATACAATCTTTAAAATAAAATAAAATGCCCTTGTAAGAAATGAGTACGTAAATAAATAAATATTAAAATATATAAAATAAAATGCCCTTGTACTGGGATACCTGGATGGCTCAGTCAGTTAAGTGTCCGACTCTGGATTTCAGCTCAGGTCAGGATCTCAGGGTCTTTAGATTGAACCCCACATTGGGCTCCACACTGGGTGTGGAGACTGCTTTGCCCTCTTGCCCACCCCCTGTTCACACGCATGTGTGTTCACACACTCTCTCTCTAAACAAATAAATAAATAAAATAAAATGCCCTTGTACAAAATTTGTTACCTTTCCAGTTGTGTAGTGGATTTCTTTGTCATTCTTTGTCATTTGTAATCCATACTTTCTTACCTCTGTTTCTGTGCTTATGCTGTTTAAACCTTCTAGACTATTTTTTCCCCATTTCGTTTCCTCTATGTTCACATCTTGATCTAGGTAATAATTACATGAGTATATACATACATAAAAATTTGTCAACCTATTAAGATTTTTGTACCTCATGTATGTAATGTCTCAGTGATTTTTTAATTCCTTTGTTGTAAAAAAGAAAAATTCTTTTACTTGGAGTAGATGTTAGAAGTGTATTATGTAAAAATATATAGTGCAGAGTTGGACTCCCTTTCCTGAAATGTTGGTGATTATTACACTAATAGGTCTTTGTTATTTCTGAGTTATTACCCAGATTAGCAAAAAGATGTAAAGTGATAACTTCTATCAGCGATATAACACATTACTATAAGAATTCATGTATCTTTACTTTGAAAGTTATTTTTTGTTGTAGAATGTCTAAACCAAGACAGAAGATAATGTCAGATTATCATTCAACTTGAAAGAGTTGTTATTTCATGAGACATCTTATGTCATCTCAGAAAATTGCTATTTCTCTGATATGACATAAAAAATTAAATTTCTATAATTCTTTTCACTTACTATGCAGTTACCAAAATGTTAATTGGATATTTGCAAAGCATTTCAAAATCTTTTGATTTTTTTTTTTTTTTTTAACGCCTAAAGTAATTGTATTGCTTTACAGATGGCAGAAGATTTTTTCATTTACTGTCTGGGGTAAAATTGCAACTTTCTGGAACAAGGCTTTCCTTACTATTATAGTCCTTTTGATTGTTCTGTTTCTAGGTAAGTACTGGATTCCTCTTTTGATTAGGCTTAACTCTAGAGGCTTTTTTAATTAATGAATTCATGGGGTTTTCAATTAGGTTGATGTTGCTATTGATGTAAAGTAGGTTATACAGGACTCATCCTGGGATAACCACCACATCTACCACCGTTTTATGAGCAAATGTTTCCTATGTTCCATACCACCAGCCTCTGAAATGAATTTCTTTTTCTAAAACTGGGAACAACTGGTACGAGGAGGTATGAGTAGGCGATTGTGTCAGGATGTGTGAATGGGTTCATGCCTCATTTCAAAATGTCAGTATTTGTCTCAGGGTATGCTCTTGTTATCAAGTAAATCTCCAGCTTTGTAAGAAATAACACTAAACAACTAAAGGACAATAAGAAAAATGGATCCCAACTCTGCCACCAGCTAACTAAATGCCTTTTGGAATGGCATTTCATCTCTCTGATCTTGGTTTATCCATTTGCATGCAGAGAGAGAAAAGGCAATCACTTCTGCAGCTCCTTCTGACTCTAGTATTGTGATTTTTTTTTTTTTTTGAGTTGTCTCTACACACAACATGGGGGTCTGACTCATGACCCTAGTGAAGATTTGCACACTCTACCGACTGAGCTAGCCAGGTGCACCTGTAGTATTGTGATCTTTTAACTCTAAAATTATTACAAGAAGTTTGACTGAAAACTGCCACATATCCATAAAAAGAAGGAAAACTAGAGTACAAGGTTTTTTTGGTTACATATATCAGAAACCAACTGGAGCTCACTTGAGCAAGAAAGGGGAACTAATAATAAAATAGAGTTGTTTTAGAGCAGCTCAGGGAAGGAAGAAAGCCAAATTCCAGGAAGAGACTTGTCCTAGAAACTGAAACTGAAAACTGTGTCCTTTGCACGTCCCTGCATTACTCCATGGGTCTTCATTCATCCTTATCCCATATAGCTGTGGGCACCATATAGCTGAAAAATATCATCACTCTGGCCATATACAAGGATTAGTAGCTATTTCTGAATATCGATTCCAATTATAAGGAAAATAAATGAGCCAGCTAGTACTATGTATCCAACCTTTGTTTGGTAAGCTATGGCCAGGGGTAAGAGTCACAAAGCAGAACCATGACCTCTAGCTAGAAACTACATCCATGGGCAGAGTGGGTAATTAATTCTCAGACAATAGCGACATCATGGATGATTAATACAGGACCTTTGACCTTGGATGGTAAAGGCAGCCAGATGGGGATCTATGCTGTAAGCCTTGGTGTTTCCATCTCAGAATAGGGTAATCACACCTGCTGCACTGAGGTATTCAAAGGTTTAAATGCAGTAGTGAATGTAAAATACACAGTCCAGTGTTCTTGTGCACCAGAATGACAATGGTGTAAATTATGGAAAACCAGTAGATTACTCGTTTCCTTTTTATTTTACTTTGAAATTTATTTCATTTTTCGTGTTGGTTTTTTCTCTAATAACATAATCATTACAAGATGTTCGTGTTTCTGGAGCCAGTACTAACTGAAAGTATGTGTGTATGTGTGTTTAAAGGGGTGGGAATAGGCGGAAAGAAGCAGGAAACCCAGGAATATGTTTAGTATCAGCAGAAATGCATCCCAGGAATTTGAAAGATTCCACGAGTGACCCAAGAAAGCTGTCCCCATGTGGTTTCTAGAAAATTGACCACGTATCATACCCTGCGTGTATGGTTGGTTGCCCCTGTATCATTTTTCATTTTTCAGACATAGTTTTGCTTTCAAACAGGTGATTTTATTCCCTAGTTGGTTTTTTTATATCCATTTATCTTTATAAACTTTTTTTTTTTAATATTTATTCATTTGATAGACAGAGATCACAGGTAGGCAGAAAGGCAGTCAGGGAGAGAGGAAAGGAAGCAGGCTCCCCGCTGAGCAGAGAGCCCGACATGGGGCTCAATCCTAGGACCCTGAGATCATGACCTGAGCTGAAGGCAGAGGCTTTAACCCACTGAGCCACCCAGGCACCCCAGTAAACTTCTTTGATGTTATTGGTTAATCTTCAGCATTTCTGCATAATGAATCTAGGAATATTATTTTTATTTAAAAGCCAAAGAAGCTGAATAATAAGCATAAGGATCCTTCATATTACTATGTAGTTTACCTGGCCTGTTTAGAATAACTCATAAATACTATTGTGTTTGATTTTTTTTTTTTTAGTTGTTTCATAGTGGTTGGTATGCTCTTACTATATTATCGTGGCAATCTGAGAAATGTAAAAGAGAAAATGGACATTAAGTTCAAAAAAAATTTTTAAAGATAATTTAAAAGACTGGGGTACCTGGGAGGCTCAGTCAGTTAAGCTTTACTTCAACTCAGGTCAGGATCTCAGAGTCCTGGGTTCAAGCCCCATGTCTGCTTCTCCCTCTGCTCTTCCACCTCCTCATGCACATGCTTTATCTCTCTCAAATAAGTAAATAAAATCTTTTTTTAAAAAAGACTATTTCATATATCTCTATGCAAATAAATGTGAATACCTACATGAAATGGATTTTTTTTTAAGATTTTATTTATTTATTTGACAGAGAGAGAGATCACAAGTAGGCAGAGAGGCAGGCAGAGAGAGGGGGGAAGCAGGCTCCCCGCTGAGCATAGAGCCCGATGTGGGCCTCGATCCCAGGACCCTGAGATCATGACCTGAGCCAAAGGCAGAGGCTTAACCCACTGAGCCACCCAGGCGCCCTGAAATGGATAATTTTGTAGAGAAACATAACTTATCAGATGAATTCTAGTAGATAGAGAAAATTTAAACAGACCAATTTTCCACAGAATTACAGAAAGTTATTTAAAAAAAGAAAAAAGCTACTCCCATCAGAAAAGAATAAAACCAGATAGCTTTGCAAGAAATTCTACCACTTTGAAAAAATAGACATTACTCATGCTGCTTAAACTGTTCCAGAATTTATGAAGCTAGAAAAAACCAAACTCTCTAATTGCAAAAAAATAAATAAATAAATAAAAATAAACCAGATATAAGACTGGTAACATACACCACAGAGAAAAAATGTTCATAGCAGCATTAGTCATAATAGCCAAAAAGTAGAAACAGTCCAAATGTCTTCAAGTGACAAATGGATAAAGCAAATGCAGTATATCTGCACAATGGAATGTTACTCAGCCAAAAAAAATAATGGCTGAATAACAGCCATACCAAAAAATATGTGGTACAACACAGATGAACTTTGAAAACATGCTAAGTGAAGGAAGCCAGATGCACAAAATACACAAGTTAATGATTGCTTTTGTATAGGATGTCCAGAATAGGCAAATCCATGGAGAAAGAAAGTAGATTGGCAGTTGCTAAGAGATAGGGAAGGGGCAGAATGGGAATGGGGTTTTGAGGGGGTTGATGAAAATATTCAAAAATCAGTGGTGTTGTTCGCACAACTTTGTGAATATACTCAAAACCACTGAATTATATGCTTTAAAGGGATAAGCTTTAAGATACGTGAGTTATAACTCAACAAAGCTGCTATTAAAAATAATTAAATAGGGCCAGCTCGGTGGCTCAGTCAGTTGGGCGTCTGCCTTCAGCTCAGCTCATGATCTCAGGGTCCTGAACTTGAGTCTCCAGTTGGGCTCCCTGCTCAGCGGGGAGTCTGCTTCTCCCTTTCCCTCTGCCCCTTCCCCCTTTCGTGCTCTCTCTTACGTGCTTGCTCTCTCAAGTAAATAAATAAAATCTTTAAAAACTAAAAAAATAGTTTAACCGGCCTCAGTTTCCAACTGGAATCTCTTTCCTGTAGCAGTAACTCTTCTCTAAGTGTGCTGATGGCAACATGAAAGAAGCAGTCTGACTTGTTTGCCCCCTGCTTTTTGAGACACCTAAGGGGCAGATAAGTTACCTAGGACCTACAAGATCCAGTGACTTAAGAATGCACTAAATATGGATATGAATAAGCGGAAATCTGTTTTCCATTAGAAAGAAATAGATCCCCTGTACCTCTGAGACTTAATAGAATTGACTGCATCAGAAGTGCAGCTCTCTGAATGTTTCCAGTAGCAGATGCCATCCATGTGCCCATTGGGGGAGCATATGCCCCCATAGGCCAAATTCCATTTTAACCTATGCCAGTGGAAATCTCAGTGTAACCCAATATTTCTAAAATCTTAGTAAAGTTATATTAGTATTACTAGTATGAATTATTAATAGCATTTTAATAATAATGTTCCTTTAATATTATTACCTTAAATAACTTAATATTATTTTAATAATTACCATAACAATTTGATAGTACTGAAGGAATAATACAATAAAATGCTAGTAGAGTCAGGAAAATAGATAACCTCTTAGAATTGATGGGAATGGGAGATGACCTATATGCTACTGTCAGTAGGTTGGATTTTGCTCAACCTATTAGGGATAGAAAGAGTCAAAGATAACAGTTTGCAGTGTAGCTAGAGATGAGAGACAGTACAGTGATAATAAGTCCTAGATAAAGAGTTTTTAAAAAATCCTCTTCCAGTTAAAATTCCCACTAACATCCATTTACAGAGCATCTCTTTTGAGTACGGTGCCCTCCCAGGGATAGTAGAGGAAAAGACAAAAAGAGGGCCCATACCAAAAGTCTATTGTTTAAAAGTCCATTCAGTTGTTCTGAAACTGCTTTCCATTTTAATAATAATTTTATATTATTAAAAGCCTAAAGTGATGTTTTCTCTTTTTCTCTAATAGATGCTGTGAGAGAAGTAAGGAAATATTCCTCATCACCTGCCATTGAGAAAGGCTTAACCAGCAGACCTGGAGCCTATGAACATGCACAGATGAAACTTTTTAGGTCTCAAAGAAATCTTTACATTTCTGGATTCTCATTATTTTTTTGGCTGTAAGTTTTTAAAAAAGCACAATTTTAAAACATGATTTGTGTTTCCCTTCCTCATTTTTCCTACCTATACCATACATTTTTTTTTCTGTGCTGTTTAGTATACTGACATCTTCACAAAAGGATGCAGATGAAATACCCAAATAATAGTCATTACTGCTTGTAGGTTTGCTGGGTCCCTAAGGCCCTGCATGGTCTGGCCCCTGCTTCTCTCTGGAGCCTTGTCGCTCACTGTTCTGGGATATTCACACCACATTCCACCCACACTGAGCTTCAACTGTTCACACATTCGTTCTTGCAACAAATATTTATTGACTCGCTATTGTTTACCTGACTCCTTCCTACTTCAGATTCTTCACACCCACTTTAACCTCTACCAGAACACTCCCCTCTTTCCTGGCTACCTTTCTATTCATCCTTCAGACCCTTTCACGGAGAATTTGTTTATGACCCTCACTCCCTCCAAAGCGTGCTTCTGTGGAATGTATCTGTATATGTATGTTTTTCTGAGTATCATTCATGTTTGCAATTAAATACTGTTTTAACTCTTTCTTCCCCAACTAGAACCTAAGCTCCTTGAAGGACTTTGTCTCACTTCCTGCTGTGTCTCCAGTACCCAGCACATGCTTAACACTTAGCAATTCCGAACACTTAGCCAAGGAAATACCTGTTGAATGAATATTTGAAGATACTAATTTCTAACAATGGAAGTTACCCATAAACTGATGTGAATGAGCAGTTTTTAGGCTTGGCCAGCCTCATACAATGCTCTTTAAATAGCAAATATTAAAGTGGTAAGGGGGAAAAAAATAAAATGAACAAAACGAACTCTCTTACTGGCCCTGCCACACTGTCTAAAATTCTGTTTCTTCTCCTCCTGGCCAAACACCTGTAGGAAAAGGATGATTAAATTAACAAGTACTGCTGAACCTATTCTTCCAAGTGCTAGTCTTATAACAAAGATTCCAAAGGAACGAGATACAGGCTTGTTTTGACAGAAAGACTTAAAAAAAAAAAAGGAAAAGAGAGAAAGAGAGAAAAAGAAAGAATGAAAGAAAGAAAAGGAAAGAAAAGAAAAAAGAAAGGAAGAATATATGTATACATGTCCTCCCTAAACATTATCTTCCTCCACCTTACCCATACCTAAAAGGGAGTCATTTGACAGTGACTGTTTATCTTAAATCTGAGCTTCTAATGATTAGTTACTTATACAGTACTCCAATGCTTTTGTTTGTTTAGAGTGTTGAGACGTCTGGTTATCCTTATTACTCAGCTGGCGAAAGAACTGTCAAACAAAGGAGTACTTAAAACTCAAGCAGAAAATACTAATGAGGCTGCCAAAAAATTCATGGAAGAGAATGAAAGACTAAAACGGGTATTTAAATTTGCTTTTCAAAAATGTGTGTAAATGTTGTTAGTTTTCCCAAGGCGTATTATTTTTCAGTATCAAAAAGAGTATTTTTGTAATTTGTAAGCAAAAAGTGACCATAAGTAACAATATTGTTCTATGAAATGATTGTTTCAGAGTGTCTTATTCTCCTTTAGATTAGTTTGTTCTCCGTTTCCCTCGGTAGTAGAATGCCATTGAACCTATTTCCTATGATTGAAAGAAAAAGAGTATTCTGGGAATATGGATTTTAATTCCTTCATTACCATTAATTTTACTTTATACCTAAAGCAAACCTTTTAAGGCTCTATGTTTCCATTTTCTTTTTAGTTAAATTATTTTTTAAATAATTTTTAAGCCTGATTTTTAAATTTTTTTTGTTTTCTTTTAAATGTTTATGTAGGGAGCAGTAGAAAGTAGTTAATCCTAGACTGATGACCGCACATTATATTTAAAGTCTTTAATTTGGCTGAGTTGCTGATAGTCCTTTCTTGAGAACCGTATGCTGTAATTCCCCTGCCAATCAGGCATAGTGAGTATTAGGAACTGATGTTTTCTCTATTAAATAAAAAGAACAAGTGAGAAAATTATAGCTACAGAATTATTTTATTTTCTTCTTAAGTGTAAAATTTAGGGATAAGATGTCAGAGCTTGAGTGTCTGGTGTTCATGTTAAGCCCCATAAGTTTTGCTAATTCTACTTCTTAAAACAAAGTGTCAGTGGAACCATTCAGAAGTGAAATACATTTTCTTAAAAGCATTCCTAAAATAGTACAATAAAATGATTTTCCTATTATAAATTAATGAAATGCAAATAGTCAATTATGTATTATTCCACATTATATTTATATAAAAAGTATTGCGTTTAATAGAGAATTAAAAATACCTTAGTCTTAAAGCCTAGCCTCTTATAGAAATGAATTAGCCAATACATAATATAATAGAAGTCTTTCCAGAAACCTATTAAATAAGGCAAACCTCATTGCACAAAAAATTGTGTTTGATGCTATGGTATAATGGTCACCTATTCAGAACCCATGTTTTATTTACAATGATGTCTTCCTTATTTCCCCTACAGCAAAAAAGTAAAGCAATACCTTTTTTCATATAAAACAGCATTCAAAAATGTTTCTTTGGGGTATTATAAAATAAAGAACCACTCTATTTTTTACTTCATTTTGTTTTGTTTTGACAAGACATTGATCTATAGATGTCGTATAAATTTCCTTTTGTCATAAATTATAGCTCCTGGTATTTCTGTATTCAAAAGTCATTTCTGCTTTTTTGCAAAAAAAAAAAAAAAAGCAAAATCAGCCTCATTTTGTACCTCAGTATTACTTGTTTCATTTCTGTCCTTTCATCTTATTTCAAAATGGTGAAAGTAAAAACAAAACCCTTAAAGCTTTGATTAATACATGATGGCTAAACTCAAAAGCACCCAGCCTTGTATTTGTAAACTTATTGTGTACCTATCTTGATTTAAAATTATGCCTATCATGTTAGAGTAATGAGTTTTAATTACTAACAGAACACTGATTTTTCCTCTTATTCTTTAGTTGTTTTCCTTTTACTCATCAGCTTTAAGAAAATGGAAAGTATTTTTGTAAACTTCTGGTCCTATTATTTTTTTCAAATATACCATAATTAACATATCTAAACTCATCTTGTCCTTCAAAAAAAGCACCTTCCTCAGAACAATTTTGGCACTTTTCTTTTAGTATTGTTTTCACAACAAGTTACCCTTGCAAGGAAATTTATTTCATGACTACTGATTCTTTGATTCCTCCACAATTTCTCTCTCTCTCTCTCTCTCTCTCTTTTTTTGTTTGTTTGTTTTATTCTTCCCCTTTGATTCCATGCTGTCCTGGTTCTCTGCTTCCTATATTGGAAGGTCCCAGTCATTGGCCCCAGATCATCAGAGACCCATAGATATGCCGAGCTAAAGCTAGCACACAGTAAGGAGAAAGATCATGAGCTGAACATTAATACTGTCAGTGCCCAAAGTGTACTAACTGACCAAGAAAAGCCAAAGGTCAGAATATCAAAGATCACTTCTGTTTTGAGATATTTCATGTAGATTTTGAAATATTAGCTATGGAAACAACTCTTTATTCTCTATCAGAGACACCTTACCTAATGGAAAGCACTTTTACTGTGAGATCCAAGAGACTTAGTCCTAACTCTAATAAAAGTGATTAGCATTGTGATCTAGGGCAAGTCACCTCATATGTTCTCGGGTCAAAGGTTATAAATAATAGCTAACACTATGCCAGGTACTGCTTCAAATCCTTCACGGTAAGGTATTAACTCTTAATTCTTGCAACAACCCCATGAGGTTGGTACTGTTATTATCTGTTTTTATATATGAGGAAATGGAAGCACAGGAAGGTTAAGTGACTTGCACAGAACCATTCAACTAATTAATGACAGAACTAAGATTTGAATTCAAGCAGCCTGGCTCTAGAATCCATTCTCTTAACCACATTTTTTGGTGCCCTTTGTATGCTATCTTACAAAATGACTTGTAGATGCTGCCTGAGACCCCTGGCTGTTGGGATACTCAGTTAATGAAATAATTATGGAAGACCAATCAACTTTTAATTCAACTGCTTTAAAATAACAACAGTGATGGAGCTTTGCGTCTTACCAGTTTTGTTTTGTTTTTTTTTTTCCCGGCTGCTTGCCACTATGGTATAAGGTGGGTGGAACAGGGAACACATGCATTATTGTAGCTAGTAGCTAGCTATTGAATTTCAGTTCCAGGGCTCTTGGTCTTTCTCCAGCATCAAGTCACACATAATAAATCTGGACAAGTTTGCAGGTGCAATAATGAAAGGTTATTTACAAGACCCAACACAAATCCAACTTTTCCAAGTCAATGGCATAGTAATTCAAGCAGTCAGTATAAACATTCCTGCAACTCAGTGGTTCTCTTCCAATTTGGGTAATCAGTGGAGACTGTGTGAACTGAATTCAGTGAAGTAACAGCTGGATTATTTTGAACTTGAAGTGGGCAACAAATTTATAGAGTTAATGGGAAAAAAAACTTTTTTCTTTCTGCTCTTTTTTTTTAATTTTGAAGATAAGAGGTTCCTTAAGCTTAAGGATGTATTTTAGTGTTTGTCTCCTAAAAAAATTCTTTGCAGTCATATATTCATGAGAGCTTTAATTCCTCCTCCTAAGCTGCCTAAACTGTATTATAACAAGATAGAAGATAGTACTGTATTTGATCTTATTTTTTTTTTTTAAGATTTTATTTATTTATTTGTCAGAGAGAGAGAGAGGGAGAGAGAGCAAGCACAGGCAAACAGAATGGCAGGCAGAGGCAGAGGGAGAAGCAGGCTCCCTGATGAGCAAGGAGCCCGATATGGGACTCGATCCCAGGACGCTGGGATCATGACCTGAGCCAAAGGCAGCTGCTCAACCAACTGAGCCACCCAAGCGTCCCTGTATTTGATCTTATACTACAGTTTTTATGCTCTTGTGTCCCCCTTTCCACTAGAGTTACATGAGAGCAGAGACCATGTTTCTCTTATATTTTTTTTCCCTTATATCACCTAATTATAAAAATTTAATATATTTACATGTAGCCCATGCTCAGTAGAAATTTGTGAGTTTTGTTTATTGGATATACCAGCTTACATTAGAAAAGGAATTACCCGGCAGTAGAAATTCTTTTCTGTCACTTTGTTCAAAATTGTCCTGAGCTGTGTTTTTTATTTGACTATAGAAGCCGTCAATATCAGGTTGCTTCCACATTATTTACTCAAATAACCCCTGTCAGTGTATACATATTTTTTTTCAAACATTAGTTTAATTTGCCTTTCGTGGTTACTTAAATATCTTAAAACTTCTCTAAGATAAGTAAGTTTCTTAATTCTGTTAACAATGCTAGTTTCCTTTTAGGCCTACAGATTATGAAATTTTTACTCCATGGTATTTTTATTTTAGTCAAATATTTTACTATTCTGGTCTTAATTTTTTTTGCCCAGAAAAGATGATCTACAGGGACGCCTGGGTGGCTCAGTCAGTTAAGTGTCTGCCTTTGGTTCAGGTCATGACCCAGGGTCCTGGGGGTCAAGTCCTGCGTTAGGCTCCTTGCTCAGCAGGGAGCCTGCTTCTCCCCCTCTGCCTGCCGTTCTTCCTGCATGTGCTCTCTCTCTCTCTCTGGAAAATAAAGTCTTAAAAAAAAAAAAAGATGATGATCTACCAACATACAAAACACATTTTAAAAGCCCACACTGGGGGCACCTAGTGGAGCTCGGTCAGTTAAGAATCTGCCTTTGGCTCTGATCATGTTCTCACAGTCCTGGGATTGAGTTCCACATCCAGCTGTCCGCTCAGCATCGAATCTGCTTCTCTCTCTGCCTCTGTGATCCCTCTTCCTCTATGATTGTTTTTGTTCTCTCTAAAATAAATAAAATCTTTAACAACAACCAAAAAAAGCCCACATAGATTTTAGAATATAAAAAACATTGTAAAAGATTAGCTGAATAAGATTAATTTGGGGACTAGTCAATGACTATTCAGAATTAGGTAGAATATTCCAAGCATAGAGATAGCCCTATCATTATACACTTACCCATCCCCACCCTGACTTATATTCCTTTTTTACAGATTGGTCTGCATAAAAATAGTCTGAGTAGACAGCTCTGTAATTGGAACATAATGGTTTACCAATTAATACCATCCTCACAACTGTTTTTTTCCTTAGATTTATATCACACATTTAACGGAGGAGGAGACATTCACATTACTTACCTAAATACTTTTTGAAAACATAATTTTCATTATAGCCCAACCAGAAACTCTAATTTTCATTTCAGAGATTTCAGCCTTACTAAGAAGAAATCTTTTTGTTTGCCAAATATCAAGTTTCTACCAGCAAAAGTACATTGTAGAAAATTATAGAATACTAAAAAGATAAAGAATCAAATAAAGACCAATAATTTTAAATATGTTATTCAGCCTACTTCCTGAAGCAGTATGTGGTTGTTGCAGTCTAAGCTTACTTCTTTCTATAACTCTCTTTTCGGATAGCTCTTGAAAAGCAATGCCAAGGAAGAGGAACACATTTTGGAAGCCGAAAATAAAAAACTAGTAGAAGACCAGGAAAAACTGAAAACCGAATTAAAGAAGACTTCAGATGGTAACTTTGTGTGCATGTGCAGAAGTAGAAAGTGTAGCATGATATTTTATGCGGTTACACATCACTGTTTTCCCTAAAACAAAACTAATGGCTCAATGTTCTTCTGGCTAAAATAACCAAGAATGACCTATTTACAAATTCCTGCTCAAATATGAAGATAAAACATGGTTTGGGCCAAGAGAAACATGCTCTGTTATACAGAAAAACATGTAAGTGTTTCAGATCTGTGTTGTAAATATAGATGTTCCTGCCTTAGCAGAAAAGCTATGTTCCTGAAAAGTTGCTTGTAAATATAGTTTTGGAAAATGAATGACATTTTTCCATCATAGTATATCGCTGCTTTGAAAGAAGCAATCGCAGGGGGACAATTTTGATTACAGGAAAATATATTGCTTATCTCAAACCCTAATATTTCCTACCTGCCAGATATAAGGAATGCATTCCCTGAAAAGAGACTGATTGTGTAAAGTAAGCAACAATCTGGAATTGTTGACAATTTGAATGGCTTATTCTAAAATACATTACAATCAGGACTTGGGAAGGCACCTATTTCTTCTATGTTTGTTTGTTGTTGTTGTTGTTTTTTTCTTAAAAAAAAATAATAGCATTTTCTTCTTTGTCAAAGAAAAAATTCTTACTGCTTATAGCCACATAACACAGAAAAGTAGGTACCCCAAGTTCAGTGTCATCCCAGGAAACTCAAGAGTAAAAATCTGTGGCTTGACCCTTGGACAACATCCTTGCATATAACAGATATTCCTTGATGTTGGCCAGACAGTGGCAGACTTCTCAGCCAGCCAGAGTTAAGGTAATGGATCAATGCATAGACCTTCTCTGATTTCAAATCTCTTCCACCACTTTATGTTGGAAGTAAATTGGAGAATGTTCAGTGACTGAATTAAGGATCTACTTTTAGACTATTTGTAAGTTTATACTCTTTAAAGTAGATCTCAGCTTAATAAAAGTTTTTTATAATATAACTTGCTTTATTGGTTATCTATTTACCATATTTGGATAGAGTTTACTTCATCATGATATATTTGAATTTGGTATGGAAAGCCCAAAGATAAAAGCTGATTCTGTAAAAACAAAACAAAAATCCATAGGATATTTCATATGATATAAAATTCTTTAATCACTTTCTTCTTATTTAAAGTGAAAAAAAAAAAGATTAGAAGCAGTAAGTTAAAAAATAAGTTACTCTTCTAGACAAGATAGTGCATTATGTGGTTGATGTAGTATAGTCCAAAATTCATTGCTGGTTCTGTTGTCTCTTGTGTCATTACAAAAGATTTGGAACATGATCAAGAATTTTTCACACTTATATGAAAATAAATTTAGTAATCACCCATTATATTTTAAACATCTAATGTTTAAGAAGAGAAGCAGTATTCTTTTTTTATCCAGCATAAAATATTGCTGCTAATCTTTTTGAAGATTGCAAGGGACCGTTTCCAAAATACCTTTAATTAGGATAAAAAATTGTTTCAAAATCTTGCTTTCTTTTTTTCATACCTGTCATGGCATGGATTCCTCTTTTAATGTAAGAAGGGTGGTACAAAAATAAAGACAACAACAAGTTGTTTGCCACATTACACCTTCCTTTTCCTTTGCCTTTCAAAAATCCTAACTTTAAGATATTTTGAGCTTTGACTTTATGACTCTGAGATATAACTCTAAACCTAATATTATTTTAGCATAATATAAAGAAACTCAGTATTTCTTTAACAGACAATTGAGATGTTTGGAATAGATGAACTCTTTGATAACATAGACATTGTGTTTATGATCTGATAGCAAGAGATACCAGCCTCTATGTTTAAAGTGTAGACTACAAACCTTCTTTCAGAGTGAATCAGAGTTGAGGTAAAAGCGGATTTTACCTGTTTGAGTATGTCCTGTTAGGTTTTTGCAAGATGTGTAATATTTTATGAACACATTTTATGTACCCAAAATTATTATTTCACATAACAGTATTAGTGACCTTGAGAAGATCAAAGCTCCATTTCTAAAAGAGATATATCTTTAGCTATGTTCTCCTGACATATTCCAGTCAATTTCATTAAGGCAAGGACTAAGAAATTACATAAATTAATAGTGCAAGGGATTCAGATGAATTCAGTAGCACAATGCTTTGTGTTGTATATTACCATTCAAAAATCATCATTGATTTCTCAATATTGAGGATATTAAGACTGACAGTGCTTAAGAAATGTTTCAGAAAGTTCTTTTATATTTGAAAATTGAGTAGAAAAGCAGTGTGATTTCTCTCTTAATGGAGGCAAATAGAATATTTCAGTATGCATTTTCTCATCCTTGGTGTTTGTTTAATCTAAGTGAAACATTTTCTCCGAAGTATACTAGTGAAGATAGAGCATAAATACAAATGTTTATTTAAACTGGTTAACTTCAAATTGGAAAAGCGGTGTTCTGAACCAAGGTATTAAGAACACTTTCTTAGTAGTGCCAAACACTCCATCAGTTTTTAATCACCAGCTCAGATTTGGACCAGAGTTAGTAAATTGTCTGTGCTTCAGTGCAGTAATATGGCCCTGGTGATCCAAAAGAGAGTATGCATGTCCCGGAGCACCTCATTTATAGTCAGGACTAACTTAGTCAGGTGTAAGGATCTGATCTGTCATTTTTAATGATCTGTTTAACAATAACTCTGATACCCCAGTATGTGGAGTAATTGGGAAAGGGCACTGCCATGGAAAATAAGAACTTATCTCTGAAGATTTACGAAGCTCACATAATAATAATAATAAAAGAACTCAGAAGCTCTCATAATAAAAATAGATCTTGTATGAAGTGAAAAATCTTGTGATGTCCGAGGCGATTGACTTCAAAGGAGTCTCCCAGGATAACTCCTGGTTTTTATTCTTCAAAATAAATACTTTCTTGGCATTTATGCTTATAAATAAATACTTTCTCAGTATATATTAACTAGAGGAGACATGTCCCATTCATTTATTGCCTGCATTCATGCAATGGTGAAAGTAGATAATGATTTTAAAAGTGAGGGCACTGGCTGGCTCAGTTGGAAGAGCCTGGGACTCTTGAGCACTGATCATGTTCTCACAGTCCTGGGATTGAGTTCCACATCCAGCTGTCCGCTCGAGCCTGATGTGGAGTATAGAGATTTCTTAAATAAAACAAAACAAAAATGTTTTTATAATAAATATGTTTTAATAAAACAATAATATAATATTTAGTAAAATAATAATATTTAATAAAAATTAACAATTGAAATGATTGAGTTTCAGGGCACCTGCCTGGCTCAGTCAGGGTCATGAGTTCAAGCCCCACATTGGGCATAGAGCTTACTTAAAAAAAAAAAAAGTGATTTTTATGTGGAAATGTCTCCTCCTTATTCCTTTATGAACAGAAATGTATTCATTACATGTTACATTTTAAAAGGAGTTCTCAGAGCTGCCAATCTTACAGTAGAGGTTGAGTAGTACCCTGCCTATTTCTGCTGCATAAAGGGAAAAGAAGAAAACACAAAAAAGTGATTGAGGCAAATTCCTTGATCCTGGCTTTATCTTCCTTCTCTCCTTTCCTCCCTCCCTCCTTCTTTCCTTCCTTCCTCTTTCGTCCCATCAGAAATTTTTTAAGGAACTTTTCAAACAATGTATTTATTGCAAAATCTTTTAATATGGAACACAGAGACATAAGCTTTTTATACAGATTTAAAACTGAGGGATGGAACACCTGGATGGTTCAGTTGGGTGAGCATCCAACTTGTCCTCTCTGCTGGGGTCTTGATCTTGGGGTCATGAGTTCAGGCCCCACATTGAGCTCTGAGCCTACTTTAAAAAAGAAAAGAAAAAGAAAAAGAAATAAGTAAAACTGAGGGCTTTCGAATTTCTTATAAATGAGTTATTTGAGCCATCTAAAAATAAATTATCAAAGTCTAACATAAGTATGTTTTACACCTGAAAATTTTTGTGAGCATGAACTATCTTTAATTTACAGCCATATCAAAGCCATCACCTTATTTTAAAGTTGTTAATATTTAAGCAAAAATGTGTCAGTTTTGTCATATTTTTTGCTTTATTTCCTTTTAATGAGCTTTTATAATTTGAATAAGAAATTCAAATGTTTTCTCCTCTGTTTATATAACTGGAAGTTTCTGCTTCTTTTCCATCTCCTTCCCTTCTCTTAATAACTGAAGTAAAGTCCATATTAAAAAATAATAGTACAGTGTATTTGATGGATGTGACAATAGACAATATGTAATTAATAGTATATTAATTAAGCAAAAAAATCGCTCCAAGCTATTGATAGCAGTTGTCTTTGGTATATACAAAGAATTTATTTTTTTCCTGGAGTTGAAATTATTTTCTGTAATGAATTTCTTTTACATGTACAGTGAAAAGGATAAAAAAACAAACAAACTCTCTTCCAAATATCCAGGTAATCTAAGGCATTCGTTTTTGGGGCTTGAATCATCTAATCGATTGAGTCTATTCCCAACTTTACTTTGAGAGTAGATACTACATATTAGAAGTTGTTTAACCATTGCTAAATGAAATGGATCACCTAGCAAATTCTGAAAATGTACAGAGTTGTTCTAGTCAAGTCACTGAACCTTTTTAGGCTGCAGTTTTCTGTAAAATGAGGGAATAGGCTACTTAACCTTTAATGTCTGTGTGTCTCCAAATAATACAGTTAAGCAAAAGTTACCATCAAGAACTATTTTCACTGTGGCTTTTTGACCCTTAAAATTGTATTTATTTTTCATGAGAGAAAATTTTTCACCGTAAGTTACCTTTCTTCCGAACTGAGTTCAGCAGGTGGTTAATTAAGCCATATTCCTCACAGAAAAATGTTTCATGTAGGCTTAGAGTCATTAGGACAGGGCCTGGCATGTTTTATCGACCCATTAGCTCATAGCTCAAGTGTGTTATATGGAATGGGGTTACAAATCTTAACCCTCTTGGGTGAGACATAACCATTTCTCACTAGGTTATAGTAAGGTTGTTTGTTTAGAACAT